TTGCATTATAATGAATATCATGCTGACCAGATCACAAGTTGTTAAACTGGGTTCAAAGTTAAAAAGATAATTCCTAAAACAAATAAGCGAAAAACTTGGTTTAAGGGAGGCAGGTCTTTTGAGTAAATTGGGAACATGAGGAACTCCCGCAGGCTTAATTTGTAATTAGTTTCATTAAGAAACTTGGATGCATGAGAAAATGTTTACTATGATAAGCATCGTGGAGCATGACAGTAAAATTTTCAAAATCCATTTTTCTGGTAAGTAAAACATTTTGTAAAAATTATTGTTTGACTATACAGACTCATCTTAATTAGTTACTTAAGAAGTTTCAAATTAAAATACTATTTTTTTTAACAGAGTTACATTTTTTGGATAGGAAAATGGGAAAACACAATCTCGAATACTGCAAGAACTCCTATATGAGTAGTTATTACTGTTCTACGCAGGAGTTTTCTACTTTGAACCTTATTTGTCAAAAGAGAGAAAAGGTTTTGATTTTGATCGCAAATAGTAATTGGCAAAGGCAGTGATTTATTAATATTTATTAATAACAATATTACAATAATCTCCCATCATCATAATTGAAATCTTATCAGCTTGAAGTGCACCTCTCTTTCGGTGAGTAGGTTTCTAACTCATAAATTGTTCAAAAAAAATAATAATAATAATCTCCCGCCGTCATCAAATTACAGGATGCATAACAATTCACTATATTGCAATATTTCTTGTCATTTAATTAAAAAATACATATTATTTCACATATCTCATTAAACTAAGAGAGAAAATTATTTTTTTTAAATTATTATCATATAATATTATAAAAATTTACTATCAATAAATATTGTTTAAAAATCATTTTTATATTATGCTTGAAGACAAGCATTTTTTATTTTTGTTTGTGGGTTTCAAAAAAAAAAAAATTGTCCTCACGTGGGTACACAGTAACAGGCTCACATAGCCCGATTAAAAGAACAGACCATGCTAAATATATATATATATTTTAAAAATGATAATAATTAATAGGTTAAGTTAATTATTTGTTAAAAATTAAAGATTCAATTCCAAAATAAAATAAACGCCACCCCCTCTTCATTAAGGGGCACAGCCAACGAGCCGCACGGTGAAGTTCGACCATGCTAAATATCTAGTCCAACTGTCCAAACCCAAGACAGTGCCAAGGGTGTACGAAAATAGAAAGACTGATTTCCCGTTCTCTACGACAGGTTGTCACGTATCATGTTCTTATTGGAAGATCCAAAACACCATAGCTTTACAAAAGGGTTAAAGCCAACTGTAGTCCTCAAACTTTGCAAAAATTTCATTACCATCCCTCCACTAACGAGATGTTCATGTTATCTCTCTACTTAGCATGTAGTATGAATGTCGCCCCTCAATTATACTTTTTTTGTTCAATGTCATATATTTCCATTATGTTGATTGTTAATCACCCAATGGTCAAACATTCACACTTTTGTTTATTAATTTTTTGTCCACCTCTATTAACTAGTGAGGATCAATGATACCATTTTTTTTTCTTTAAATCATCAAGGGTTTAAACTTACTTTTCTTTTATTTATTTGTTCCTCATAGATTTTTTTCCCCAAACCATTGACAAAAACCCTTACTCTTTTTCTTCATCATCTTTACTCATCATCTTTACCCAATCACTTGCTCCTCTTCTTCACCAACTCTTGTTTTTATCTCTTTCTTTCTTTAACTCAACAATTCGCTCCCATAACCCACAAACCCTATGCCAAAAATTACTCAAAATTGTAGAACCCAAAATTATCGAAAATCATCTTGCTTTTCTTCACCCAATCACAGAATCACCAAATCCAAGATGTATTTGAACAATTCCCATCAACCACATTTTCAATTTAGTTCTCCATCTAGACAATCTCTATCTCATTATGGTGAGTTTGTGGGTTTTTGCTAATGTGGTCTTCAACTAGTTAAGAGAATTGCATTAGCTAGGTTGAACTATGGTTGAAGGTTTTGGGGACATCCAAAATTTTTGGTAAGGTTTATATATCTTGATCGTTAATTATATTGTTGATTTTGGGTTGGTGATATTTGTTGTTAATCGTAGATTTTCTTGTTGACTTTGGATTGGTGATATCTACTATAGCGTTATGGTTGATTTGGAACATATCATCAACTGACTCATTCAAAACAATTAAGACAAGGTCATCATCAAACCTCTTTGTAGGATTTTATATCATACAAAATCTATCAAGCCATCTATGTCTATGTTTAACCTTTATAGTTTCTTTTTAAAAACAATAGGTTGAAAACTACTAGGTTTAAACCACATGTTATGAAAAATACCACCAACATATCAAAGCATTAGATCCCTAACAAATTTGCCTCATAATTCAGCTATATACCATATTTAATAGAATCAATCATTTCGTGAGACATATAAACATTTGAGACCATATCTAAAAAAAAAGAACAAATCAACAGATTCTACTATGGGTAATGAAACCTAACTCAAGAAATTATTAAAGAATGCATTGTTTAAAAGAACAACATACATTAATAAAACAAAGATTATCAATTGATTATTATCTTTTTGAAAGCCTTTACAAGCCTTGACAATTTTCTTGCTCCAAGCACAACCTCTTCATGTTTTTAGAGATTCTTGTATCTTGTACTCTTTGATTATTTTACATTGAGCTTTTTACAAATTAGGAAATAAGGAGAAAGTGAGTTAAAAATCCATTCACGTGATGAACACTGGATACTAAATAAGAAAATTTTTTTTGTCACCTATTTTGGCCCCATTCTTTTTTTTTTTACACTAGTTCCTCTGTTGTCATTATTTCCTCTATAATCTTGCTTGATTATTACAATCTAAAAAACATAACAAATAAAAACAAAAAAAGAAATGCTTGAATTTGGTCTCATTAGTCCCAACTAGTTAGTACATGTGGATAAAAAATTAGTAAACCAAAGCTTGAACATTTGACCATTGGGCAATTAACGGTCAACATAAACGGAAATATGGACAGCATCCAATTAAGGATGACAATGAACCAAAAAAATGGTAGTTGAGGGATGACATTCACATTGCATGCCAAGTAGAGGCACAACATTGAATATTTCCTTAGTAGAGGGACGGTCATGACCATTTTTGCAAAGTAAGAGGACTACAGGGCTTTAACCCTTTAAGAAACGGCAGTTGATAAAAATCTAACTATAAATAATTTTTTGGAGCCACACGTTTTCCTCTTCTTTCTGTGCTAGGGGCCCCTGCTCCTCCATCATTTTCTTTTACTTTCTCCAGGACCGTGCTTCGAACCCTAACAAAGGGAAAAGGGAATTTCTCTGAACTAAACTCATAATTTTCCCAGAATCGGTGGGAAAATGCAGCACCAGAGGCTGAAGCAGCAGCAGCAGCAACAACAACAAGCTTTGATGCAGCAAGCTCTCCTCCAGCAACAGTCTCTATACCACCCCGGCATCCTAGCTCCTCCTCAGGTTCGCCTCTCTTGCAGTCACTCTATCTTCTAGTTATCTTCATGTTTTGATCCATTTTTTTTACCTTTGATTTGCTTGCTCCGGTTGCATCATCATTTCCAAGTAGAGTTCACCTGGAATTAGCTACCCAGCTAGGATTGCCTCCGAATATTGGTGCAGGGAGGATTCCATTTTGTGAAAAATTTAGAATTTTCATAGTCTGTGCTTCAACTTGATGGATGGTACTAGTTGGTGGGGTTATTGCCACATGCTCAATAATTAATGTCAAACTGACTATTGGATCCTTGCACTACACTTTTTATGTGAACTCAACATTTTTTATTTCTTAACAATGAATTAAAGGGTATAATGGTCAATTAAGATAAAAAGGTGTGACATTAGTAATTGAGGAAATTGAGGATGTGGCGATAACATCACCTAGTACTAGTGTTACTTCACTATTACTTCTGATTTTGAATGTGAAATAGTGCTACATTGGTTGTTTTCTTTTCTGATTACCTCATGTTGCTTGGCCGCAAAGTTGATGAAATGGGTGCAAAATATAAGTAGAAGTTCATTCTGTTGGTATCTCAATGCAGTCTTTGTGTAATTATTTTGCATTATTTCTAAACTATCAAAGCATGAGGTCATTTTTTTTGAATTTTTCTTTGAGGTAAAATGTAAATATTCATCTGGATTTTGGAATTCGATGGAGTATCTTTTAATTTCGTGATACTTAAAACTTCATTGCCTGTCAAAAGATTGAATTTCTAATAATGCCTTTGGAAGGCCAGTAGTGTTTTTCTTCTCCTTTTCTTTAGTTTATTTATTGTTTCATTCTAGTTTGGCTTTGTTTTCTTTTAGCAATACCAAAATCTTCTTTACTGTTTGATCAGTGTCACTCTCGGTTCCTCTGTCTTTCTTGTTTGCAAGTTTGGTTAAAAATTTCATTTTGGGATTATTTTGTTAGACTGGGAGTATTATGAAATAGTGTATTTCTTTGATACATTCTTGTTTCATAGGAAGACTGTTGAAGTTATGTGTCTCTAAACCTGAGAATTATTAAAAATTGCATAGGAAGTTACAAATCTTGCCATCCACCCTCCCTGACTGGAGAAAGGATCTTTAAACTGGATCATCCTTAAGTATGTGCTGACATCTGGTATATATATCCAGTTTCAAGTATATAGTTTTCTAGAAAGAGGTTTAAGCGTTTGATTTATTTGTGATGGTAAAGCTAACCTAAAAATATGTTTTTTTTTTTTGGAGAAAATGATAATGTTTTTAATTTTAGATAAAAACTTTAGATTTTTGGGTTGTTTCATATGTTAGTTTAAAGTATTTCAAAAGATGCCAGATAAGGAATGCCTCTATTCTGGCGGGCTAAAATGAAACCTTTTAGCAGTAATTTTTCTGCCTAGACTATAGGGTATTTGCCATGGTATGGGAAAATCCCAATGGTTTGAGTATTGCTCAGAAATTGGGATGGGTAGGGAGAGCTATCCTTTGTTGTATTGGCCACATTTAGATAAAAAAAGCCCACTCTTTTGGTATTTTTTATACTGAGTCCTTTGGTGTTTTCTTGGCTGAGTTCTAGATAACTTTAGAAACATATTTTCTTTTTGGGTGTTGTTGTGGGTAGCTGGCTGGGTAAGAAGGGAATCCTTTTGTTTTTAATTTGTTTCCTTTTCTTTTGTTTTTGTTTTCACTATTTTATTTTGCAGATAGAGCCAATCCCAAGTGGAAATCTGCCTCCTGGTTTTGATCCAAGTACTTGCCGCAGTGTGTGAGTGATTGTCTAGATATTTTCATTTTCTTTTTGTATTTTTGTTTTTTTGTTTTGTTTTGTTTT